CCTGTATTATAATTTTTTCATTGTATAAATGAATTAATAAGACTTATTTAGATATTGAAAAGATAAATAGTGCAATTCAAATTCTACATTTACCCACCTATGCCTGTGGTTCTCTCTTAGCCTAAATGAGAAATGAGTTCAGAAATTATGAACTAACTTGCTAAATTGTACAACAGATTTATTTCAAGTAATTATCAGTTTTTTCTGTTTTGTGAAAGAGTGATATACCATTGATAGTAAAAGGAGAGACTTAAACCTGAAGGAAAGCAATGCTTATAGTAGCAATGCTATTTTCCTGTCATCTTTCTGAGAGTTTTTTTTTCCTGGATACTTAAAAAAGAAAAAAGGAAGGAAGTTCTCTCATTTGCTTCCTCTGTGAACCTCTAGATAAAATGTATTTTGTGTGCAGAACTGTAGATGCCCTGCCTTGTCTTCCTTTCAGGATAATCTCATTACTGCTTGGAAAAATTAGTGCTGTATTTCAAAATTATTCAAAATATTCTTAGCCAGAAATTTAAGTATGCAGTAAGCTAAAAGAACAGTTTGAACCAGTCAGGTGGGGGAACAAAACAGCAAAATATTGAAGTCCATAGATCCCTCCCTGTCTCAAGGGCAAAATCAAAAACGTAACACTGCTGTGACCTTAGATGTCTTGAATAGAGATCTGCAAAGCCAGTTTGCTTGTTTAAAATAGAACTATTGCTTGGGTCTAAGTTTTAAGTAGTGTACACTATAATTTTAATGGGACAAAAAGAAAGAATGGGAGTGATTTACTTAAATGTCACGGTTGTGAAGGAAACTTGTCAACTCACTTTCTTGCCAAGAACAGGGTAGTTGTATAAAGATAAAGAAACTATTTTCAGTGGAATGGCTTAAAATCAGAAGTGTCTGAGTTCCTACTTAGAATGTTCTAAATTGGTTTGTTGTCTCTCTGTGGTTTTTTTTTTTTTAATGAGAAGGAAAGATTTCTATCTTTCTATATGCAGCGATCCCCATCTCAGGGACAAAACCAAAATAAAGCACATACCATCTACAGTACAAACTTTATTTTTTAAAATGAGAATCTTGCAATCATACTGTTTATTTATAATATGGCTTCTGCTTGCCTAAAAATGTTGCAGACTTTTTCTTAAATTATGTACAGTAGTTTTCTAACTTTGATGGGAAAAGAAAGTACAGTTATGGAATGTATTTAAACTTGGTAATTATGAAGAAAACCTGTCAGTTTCCTTGACAAGAAGAACAAAGAAGCTGCATAAATTAGCACAGTCATGGCAAAACCATTCCCAGCCTTGTTTTCTTTTCTTGCAGCATCTCATTCAAGTATTTTTCTCACCCCTCTTTGAAAAATGTTAAAATTGTGTACTGATTCTGATTTGATATATACTGGCCTTATATCAAATGAACTGAGTTTGTGCCTAAGATTTTGGGTCTTAACCACTACACCTCTACAAATGGGCTCTCGTGATAAATATACAGGTAGTCCTCAACGTACAACCACAATTAAGTCCAAAATTTCTGTTGTTAAGTGAGACATTTCTTAAGTGAGTTTTGGCCCATTTTACGACCTTTCTTGCCACAATTGTTAAGTGAATCACTGCATTTGTTAAGTTAGGAAAAGAGTTATTCAGTGAATCTGGCTTCCTCTTTGCCTTTGCTTGTCAAAAGGTTACCAAAAGTGATCACATGACCTTGGCACATAGCAACGGTCATAAGTATGAAGCAGTTGAACCAGTTCAGCTTAGCATCTGAATTTTGATCACAGGATCATAGGGATGCTACAAAGGTTGTATTTGGGTTCCTCCCGATTCGGCCCGGTTCCGCTGAGCTGGTAGCGGTGACGATATGATGTCACTGAACCGGTTCTGCCCCCCCGCCCCTCCTGCATTATTCTTACCTTTTATTTAGCCCCACCCCCAATCTATTTCTGCCTCCTGAGTCCCAGCTGATCGGCTAGAGGGAAAAAAACTGTTTAAACTCTTGCCACGGGGCTTCAAAGGGCCGCCCTACAGCTGATCAGTGTTAAAAGAAAACAAATGAGTAGACCGGTGCCTGCAGAAATAAATGAGTAGACCAGTGCCTGCGAAAATAAATGGGTAGACCAGTGCCTCCAAAAACAAATGAGTAGACCGGTGCCTCCAAAAACAAATGTACAGCTCTGCAAGCAGTTAAAAGCCTGGTAGACCAGTATCTCTTCTAAATCCTAAGGAATTGTCCCATGGCCATCAAGCCACGCCCACAAAATAAGCCTCACCCACAGAACCGGTAGTAAAAAATTTTAGAACCCACCCCTGGGTTGTAAGTGTGAAAAATGGTCATAAAACACTTTTTTCAGTGCCGTTGTAACTTTGTAAGACAAGGACTACCAGTATTGTGAGACAAATTTTCTTAAATTATGAATAACACAATTTTTACAAATATGCATTATTTTATTGATATTTTGTAATCTCTACAGTCTTAAATTTTTTATACTTCTGGTTTGTAAATTTAATACATCCCTAAATATGGTTGTGGACAAAGAGATTGCAAACTTTGGTGAAGTGTATTTGTAGAGGTTTAACAATAAACATGTCATGTCTTTCTTAACTTTTTCCTACCTTCTTCACTTTTACTGCTCTCTTGAACTTCTCAATCAACCTCCAGGAGGCACTGCTATCCTAGTGGTTAAGGAATTCCTGGTTTCCAACTTCACCATAGAGTTTTTGGGTGATTTTGAGCCAAACTGACCCATGCTCTCTATCCCACCTTACAGAATTTTATTTGGAGATAAAATGAGGGGAAAATCCCCTTAGTGATATTTTAATTCCCAAAGAACAGTAAGACAATAACATATATAAAAATAAATGACAATTGATTCTTTAGTTACTCATCACTGAATTTTTATAACTTGAGAAGAGTATATAGGCATCTCAAGACAATCCACTAGTCTGACATAATTCTTCTTCCAAGATGGAGAAATAATAACAAGATATTTGACCTTGTTTACAGGATTAACTTCAATGATAATCCAAACTATTTTGCTGCTTGAGGCAGAGCATAATACCCTACGTCAATCAAATTATTTTAGCATCTGTGCTTCACCAGAGTCTCTCCTTGTTTTTGGCAGCAGCATGTAATGGTAAAAATAATTATTTGGTGCCACTTCATAACATCTATAATCTGGAGACTGAAGCAGCTGAATTATGGTAAAGTTAGCTTTAACCTCTTTGTGGACAAGACTAGGGACAAGCAGCCTTATTTCTGCACTAATCCCATTAGATTGTTTTACTTGCTTCTTTTAATGTATTGCTTTTTAAAGGGTTCAGATTATCAATGGTTACTGCATTGAATTTTTTCTCTGCTCATTTTCTGCTTTATGATGTACTATGTAATTATAAATTACTTAGAACACTAGGGACAATAGACAGACTTACAACACTTTAAAATAAATATGTATCACATTTTTCTCATTCTGCAGCAGATAGGACACCAACTTCTTTGAGCATGCCTAAAGCATTCGTTTTCTTGTACTTTAGAGTTATTTAATCAATGTGAAGAACTAACCAATCCTAAAGTGACTTACAATAAAAACAATTTTAAAAAGCCAATAAAATGGTGAAATCAATGGAAACCAAAAAAGAACAAGATGTGATTATGCAAATTATTCCACAAAACATCCCAGGGCTTTGGGAAAGATGCATTTTTTGTGGCTTGCTACGGCCAGGCCAAAGGCAACTCAGATCTCTGGGGAATATCATAGCAGAGGACAGGTACCATATCAGAGAAAGCCTGATTCCGGGGTCCCTTTAGATCAGGGGTCACCAACCACCAGGGCACGTCCTACTACTGGGCTGTGAGCCATTTGGAACTGGGCCACGGAACTGGAGGGCGAGCATGTCCCCATTTGCACAAGCAGCAGGCAAGCGCATGTGCACATGCTCCATTTTCTCAAGCAGCAGGACTATCCCTCTCCTCCCCCCACCCGCCAGTCCACAAAGCCAGAAAGGTTTGTTTATTTATTTATTTATTTATATTTATTATTTTGGGGGACTCTGTTTTAGATGACATCGTTTCCTGGATGGGATCGAGAACAAATGCCCATTGAGCAGAAACAATGAGAGAAAGGTGATCCCACAGAAAGTCAGGCCCTATGCTATGAAGGATCAACAGCCTACCTTGAATTGCATTTAGGAATTCATTTTAGTTTGCACAGCAGAGATATTCCATGAGTGTCCTGAGCCATGCCCACAACTGCTGATGCAGCTGCATTCTGGACCTGTTACAATTTCTTTCGTGCAGCGTGTTGTGTTGTCAGGCTGCTATGGGAATTGTTGTATTTTGTGTTTGAAATTTGTTATGAAATAACTTGCAGTAGAAAACCCATACCCTCTGTTCAGCATTATGGTCATATTATACTCCAGTGATTCATTGTTCCGTGAGAAATTTCTTTGTTGAGTTGACTTTATTGAATTCTTTGTAGTTGTTGATAAAGAAATTGTTGAGAGGTTAAAAATGCCACTAATTGTAGTGATTATATTTGTGTTTGAAGAACTGTAAGCAGGAAAAGCAATGTCAGTACATGTTTATGTCTGCGGCTGCATTAGTAAGTTTATTTATTATACATTGCAAATATACAAGGGCAGAAGATAAAGCAACATTGACTTTGATAATTTATTATCTTCATTCTTATGTAATACAGAAAAGCATTGAAAATTGTGGAAACTCTAAGGGAAAGAATAGAGTAAGACACTGCATTGATATATGGTGATTAAGACACTGACGAGATAAATACAGGTAATGTCAGTTTTGTATTAATTGGGCCTCCTTTGCTAAATAAATGTTATAGATTATTAATGTGGTTTAGAGTGGTTGATAAAAGCACAGACTATATGCCTTACATATAATAAAGCTATACAGCTAAATTACATATTCCTAAAAAAAATTCTTTATAGATATGTTTCATTTAAACAAAAAAACAATTTAGAGTCAACTGGAGTATCTGTTCTATATTGTTATCTTAGATTCAGATTATGTGAAGATGAATAGGAAAGTGCAGCAAGCATGACATCTCTGGCCAACATCATTCCTTCCCCACAGTCTGAGTGGGTCTCCTTCAGTGACGGCCTTCACCGTTCTGTTACTTCCCAAGGTAAAACTCTCCTTTTTCATGACATATAGGTTCTTGCTATTTATTGAAATGAATAAGCATTTGAATTCAGCTGTAGTCAAAAACAAAAACCTCATGTGGTTTATGATGAATAAAAGTTCTGCATGTGTACAGTTCTCCATCCTCAACTCCCCACCTATAGGATTCTGTCACTTTCCAATTGGATGTTACCAGAAGAAGACTCCTTAAAAAGACTAAGGAAAACATTGTGCATAACTAAGTCCCTTGTAATTATCCCGATCTCCTGATCAGATCCCAGATAGTCTACTATAAAATGTAGTAACAGTTATAGAGGAAATATAAGGGACAGCTATAGAGCGTCCACTATAATTTTTAAAATGTAGATTTTAAAATTATATTTAAAAATGGGAGGATTCCAGTATTCTTGAATACAAAAATACTTGGATTTTGGCATGAGATTGTAAAATCTTGGAGAATATACTGTAGAAACTGGTAGGATTTCAGGTGACTAAAAGAAAATATTTTTGAGAAAACAAGCCTAGTGTCAAAAAAAAATTCTGAAATATAATATTGCACTGAACCATATCCGCCATTAAGCTTATTGGGTAAATTTGGATCATTCACCCAATATATCTCAGAAGATGTCAATAAAGATAAAATGAGGCCATGATGTCCAGTTTCCTTGGCTTCTGGAAGGAAGCAGGATAAATATAGTCCTAAGGATCTGGTTTCAGATAGACAACCAGGACATAGTAGATCATGGTTTTAAAAAGAGAAAGAGAATGCAGTAGTATGCTTTGACACAATTGTGTTTAGAGAAATGAGAATTTTATTAGTGTACATTGAAATACAGATCAAACTAAACCATTTATGGGATTCCTTCCACGTCTACAATTTTATTGTAACCTGGGCAGAGCTTTTCATTACAAAAACTCAAGGCTAAGAAGTTCCTGTAACAAAAAGGAAGAGAGTATCGGTAGCAGTCCTTTGCTAATTTTCCTTTTCCTTCTGTAGTGTCTTCATTTTACACCCCATATGTTGCCATTTCAATATGTATTTGCCCATTTCTTCTACATAATAACTGGCTTCTGTTTGAAAATGCTCTGTTGAATAAACTTAGTTGGCTGGATTTAGCTATAATACAAAGTCATAGACCAGGACTTAGAGTTCACAGAAGCTGAGTTCATATACCTTACTCAGTTGAAACAAATCACATAGGAGAGTCTGAAGGTAAAAGTAGAAGAAAGTCTGAAGATATTCAGTGTGACTACTCTGTTTTTCTGTTTAGCAAACACAGAGCATTAAAGTCATTCTATACTGTTCACATATGTTAATAGATGATAAAGTTGTGTGCCCTTCTTAAGCAATTAGTGTGATGCCATGTTACTCATTTTTACAGTGTGGTTCTCATTACAGGTCATACTAGGGAGCCACTTGAGAGATTTTTTTCCTCCTCTGATACTTCCTCTGAAGGCATCCAAAATCTAGATGGAGAACTGCCAAGTTTTTCACATGCTGAATTGGGAGAAAGAATAAACAAAACAACTGTAGGTCTTGATCTGCCTTCATCCTTCAGCACATGGGTCCAGTTTGAAGATGCACCTTGGACCAACAATTCACCAGAGCATCCACATACAGGTTGGAATGTCACTTATTTATTGTGTTTTATAGCAGGGATTAACAATAGGCTACAGCACCTTTACTAACCTGATACTCTCCAATGTCCTAGATTATAATTCCCATCATCATTCAATTAGCATTCACAACCTAATGGATATTAATTGGATTAATGAAGAACTGGGATGGTAATATATAATTCAGCTTCTTTCAAGTTCTTCTTCTTGGAAGTTTCTGTACTATTTGACCTAGGACGTTTAAGACTCAACTTGTACTGTGGATGTTTCTTAAGCATGTTGGTAAAGGAAGCAAATTTCTAAGTTTGATGTAAAGCATTCCTGTTGCCCAGAGTCAGTGTGCCATCCAGGTATTAAACAAGTATATTGTAAAATACTTTCCATACAGATCATTGGTTGTTGCCTTATTTGCTAAGTTTTTGGTAGCAAATGATACAGCTTTTTAGGAGAACAATGGGTGCTAGGTGTTCTAGAACCTACGTATAAAGGGAATCTAATCTGAATTTTGATTCGGTATTCCAAACAATTGGATGGAGTGATGTTTTTCATTTAAACTAATCAGTAAAACTATAACAACAGGGGATTGGGTTTCACACAGACTCTTCTTCCTGGAATATTTACTAAAACAGAAAATAATTAAGTTGATCTAGCATGTGGTGAGAAACAGGGGAACTAAATTAATATTACAACCCAGTACATCAGATTATTTTTATTTCATTTTTAAAGAAATGTTTTTAAAAAGCTGTGCTAGATGAAAAAGAATTTCACAGACTTGAAATATGAAGACAAGTTATTTCTTTTTTATTGCTGCTTTAGAAACAAACAACTTTACCTCTTTTTTACCTGCCTTTTAAGATAAATATGCCTTCTTTTTGCACACATGTGCTGCATTACCATAACAAAGGTCTACTACTGGTTAGTCTGCAGTTTTAAAATATGTAATGTTGAGATTAAAATATTTGATTAGCTTTAGTTTTTTTAAAAAAATAAAAATTCCTATGTTTTCATCTAGTTATATGAGTAATGGTATGTGGAATATGACTAGTATGGTATTAGTGGGATGATAAGAAAATAACTAAATGAGGGCTTAAGAAGTGACTTTGATCATCTCCTTTAAGCTATTTGTCTCCTGTGGGGGAGGGGAGGACTGAAGCCAGTTGGCTAACAGTTAGATTTACTGAAGGATTGATCTGCAACCTGGAATTTACTGAGGCATGAAAACTAGAGTCAGAAAACATCTGTTTTGATTGCAATGTGTAGCTTACACTCTTCCCAAGGACTTTGTCTGATAAATAACAGCCCTGGTAAATAATAACCTGATAAAATAATTCAGGTGACAAGGAAGTTATCTCACATCCTTGGGAACACTTATTCACAATAGGGCAAATCTCACATGATACTTATTATCTAGTCTGGAGCTAGAAAATATGAAGTCAGGGTTAATAGCAACAGAAAGAAAGCAGTAACTAGAAATGAAGATATATTAAAAATACTATTTGGTGTCAGGGTAAAAGCTTATTGCAGTTGAATTGCTGAAAGTGTTGTCAGAAGTCCAGTCTCCTTTAGTGTAACTTACTTTCAAATATAGGCCACTGCAAGGATACAGTATGACTGGAAACATGAGGGATTAATTTCTTAGAAAAATTTAAACCAGGTAGGATTTTATTTCATGGTTTATGGAATGATAGCTATGATTTTAATAGTCTCATTGGTAGTTTCTTTTTGAATATGGCATTTGAGGAGAAACTATAACCATATTCATATATTCTTGGAGTATGTACAGATTGTTTGCAGAGATTTTTGTATGAACATATAGATTATGCATCTGCAAGTTTTGTATATACTGCCTGATATTCTGTTTACTAAGAAATTGTTTTTATAAATGATGTATGCATGCAACCAAATAACCTACATTAAAAGTTACTTTGAATGTGATCTACAGCAAGCATCAGACTTCCAGATTTCTTCCCTGCTACTCCTTCCAGCAGACTTATGGTAAATCTTCAGAAGAGTTAAGAATTACTACCTTCAGGTTTAGTAATTCTATGTGGGATGAGGATGAAAATGCAACTAACAACTCAGAATATACAAAACAATATTTAAGAAAAAGCAGTTTTAAATTCAACCATAATTCTGTCATAATAAAGTGGAAGCCACTTAAATCCCAAATCATCATGATAAATCTGGCATTACATCATCTGTCTCAGGAAGTTAAGAATTGCTGTATATAAGTTCCATTTTTCTCTCTTAATATTAATCCTCTGAATTTGTAGAAGCACTCAGTTTAATTGTAAAGTCTGGCTAACACCAAAGCTTATCACTTAGGAGAAATCTCATGTGTTAATAGAGTTGGTTTTGCTCTGCTTTGTTCTCTGTTCTGTCTTTCCTGTCTGGTGTCATACAGACTGTTACTTTCTTTATGACCAACTTCAGCTTTTTTGCTGAGCCAATCTAACTGGCTTTGTCATTTCTGTGCTATTTGTGTCCCTATCTAAATATTGCAGCTATGCAGCACAGTTAATAGACATTGCTCTGTTATAAATTAAGTTAAGGTATAGTCAGCCAAAATTTCTCTCAGTAGGAACATAAAATAATAGGGTTGGAAAGAACCTTGGAGGTCTTCTAGTACAACCCCCTGGCCATGCTAGGATATCCTATACCATTCCAGACTTTCTTTGGGTTTAATGGGAGGGATGCACATGATCATAGAAAGAATAATAAAATGACAAAACAGAATAATACAGTTGAAAGAAACCCTGGAGGTTCTCTAGTCCAACCCTCCTTCCCATCCAAACAAGAAACCCTGTAACATTGTAGACAAATGGCTGTTCAAACTCTTCTTAAAAATCTCCATTGATGGAATACTCCTAACTTCTGAAGGCAAGCTGTTCCACTAGTTAATTCTTCTCACTGACAGGAAATTTCTCCTTAGTTCTAGGTTGCTTCTCTCGTTGATTAGTTTCCATCCATTGCTTCTTGTGCTTCCCTCAGGTGCCTTGGACAATAGGCTGACCTCATCTTATTTTAGACAGCTCCTCAAATATTAAAAAACTGCTATCATGTCACCGTAGTCCTTCTTTTCACTAGACTAGACTACCCAATTCCTGCAATCTGTTTTAACCTCCAGCTTCCTAATCATCTTTGTTGCTCTTCTTTGCACTCTTTCTAGAGTCTCAACATCTTTTTTATACTGTCGCGACCAAAACTGGATGCACTATTCCAAGTGTAGTCTTACCAAGACATTATAAAGTGATACTAACACTTCACTTCTCCTTAAAAACACTAAGGAAAACCTTAAGCATAAGTAAGTTCCTTGCAATTATCCTGACCTGCTGACCAGATACCAGATGGTCTATTTTTAAGATGAAGTTACCAAAAGTATCATGCAGAACATTCTCTAGTTTAGAAATTCTTGTCCACCAATGAAAAGACAACCTAGATAATGGAAGAATTAGGGTCTTCAGCTGTTATTTGTGGCCATAATTTTCATTTCCTCTTTTCAAACACAGTGGCTTGGTTTTCTCTTTATGCTCATGGGCACCTTAAACCAGAATTTGAGAGTGAATTTGGAGAGACATAATCCTTCTGGTGTATGCAATCAAATTATAACTCCTGAGAACAGAAAATGGCAAAATTTTAAAAATTAAAATTCATAGTACAATAAAGGTATGTTTAAAAGAAATAGGCTTCAGAAAGGGAAGATAAACAAAAGAATAAACATAGGTGTATCCGAGATGAGGGATTAAATCTCAGGAAAATCTAGTACAGTATAAAGGAAACTGAGTGAGGAATGTGAAAAATAAAACCAAATGCTAATGCCATTCAGTCAAATCGTTCACTACACCCAGAAATCTAAATAAATTAGATTTCTTTCTGTTTCCTGCAAGATTTTTCTTCACATTTTGCAGGAAATCTTTTCTTCCAGACAGCTCAGGGGTGAAATGCTACTGGTTTGCACCAGTCTGGGTGAACCAAGTGATAAAAACTACTGGTTCGGGTGAACCGGTAGTAAAAAAAAGCTAACAGTTCAGGCGAACTGGTATTTCCGACGATCAGCTGTGCTGCGCTGTCCCCCCCTGCTGTTCTACTTACCTTCCCAAGCACTGCGCATGTGTGCACAGCAAGCTATTGGCACATATTGCGCATGCGTGCATGCAGCACGCTTTTGGCGCGCACTGCGCATGCACGGGCAACGAACCGGTGGTAATCAGTGTCTCAGTGGCAAAGGATTTCACCACTGAGACAGCTATCTATTGTCCCCAGGTAAAATCCAAAATAGAAGATGCCATCAGAAAGTTTCATTCAAAGGGGCGGAGGGTGGGGAGATGTTTGTGCTCAGGATTAGCCAAATGACTTTCCAGATTTACCTTCCTAGAGGTAGAAGGGATTCTCTGACACATTCTTACCTAACAGGAATCTCTAGAAGGTTGAATTGCTGCAGGTGCCCTCATTTTATTTCCCTGACTATAGTTCTCCCACGATATGAGTGTGTATACGATTCTATGTGCTTAGTGGGGAAAGGCTGGCATGTGCATCCTCTTTCCCTTCAGCTCTCAGATATGTCATATTCTATTAATGTGCCCACCTCCCAATCTCCTTGGCATCTTCGATGCCTTCCCTATTTCCTTCCAACAACCTTGATCAGGGTTCCAGGACAGCATGTTGCATTACCTTTGATCCTCAAGCTTTCCAATGCCTTGCCTTCCTTTCCTTTCCTCCCTCTACCACAGCTGATAATATCCCATTCCACCAGTCTGCTTTCTCCTAATACAGGGACTGGCAAATTTAAACACTCAAAGAGCCACAAAGGTCCTAACCGGAAACCCCCCATTCAATTCTGGAGCCGACCGGAAGTCCGGTTCCCCTACCTTAGAGTCTCCTCCTAGCGCAGCGTACTTTTTCCTCTACCTGTCCTAACTGAAAACCCTATCAATTGTGAAGGTGACCAGCGACAGGGAGCTGCAGCAGAGGGATGAAAGAGCCACATGGTGCTCCAGAGCTGCGGGTTAATGTCCTAATCTTTCCAGTATTTCCAGGACTTGTCTATGTCTCCTCAACAGCTGATAACCCTGACCTTTGCCTGCTCTGACTCGTCCCCTTAAAAGACTTGTGCCTGGAGCATTGCCTTTTCTTCTTAATTCAGGACAAAGCAGCACCATTTTGCCTATATCTGGACTGAATGAATGAGTTTGGAAACAAGCCCCCTGGTAACGCACAAGTTCCATGTTCTGCACATTCTTTTCTTGTACTTGATAATCCCTTTTATGCCATTAAACATAATAAATTTATTTTTTTCTTTTAAGACTCATCTCCAAAAGTATTTTGTTGGATGTGTCCTTCTTTGGGATATTCTGAGAGACAACCTCTTACTTCAGAGAGCAGCTGGACAACTACTTCAGAGAACAGTAGCAGCCCAAGTATCACCCCTTCCTACACTGATCTTCAATCAATAAATACAGAGGATTTGACTAGTGGAAGAGCATCTGCTGAAGACTCAACTGGTAAGCAACATTTTTTATTTATTTATGTAATATATTTATAGGTTATCTCATTCCAGACAACTCTAGTCATACTCTTCGCTTTTATTGGCCAACTGTTGTTGAATAAACTTTTAGAATTCAGGAAATCTGTTTCCAGTCAATCCCCATCATAGGGAAATACCCATACTTCAGGCAGCATCAAGTAAGCTAGTTTGTCTTATTCCTACATTCTGGATGCTGTTATTCCAGTTATCAAACTCCAGTAATGAGGTGATGGATGTTGGACACATGTTTGAAGTTTTAGTTACAGTACTGGTTTGCCCCAGTGCTTTGGTACTTCTTTCACATTTTAAAGAACTCCAACCCTTGTCTATGGAGACTCTCAATCATCCAGGTCATAGTTGTCCCACAGGTGCTTTTTCAAAAGGCAACTGGACTTTCTTGGTTTTTTTCTTCAAAAACATTTCATTTAAGAAACTTCTTCAGTTCAATTCAGAACTGAAGAAGCTTCTTGGATGAGAAGCAAAATATTTTTAAGGAAAAAAAACCAAAATCCAGTTGCCTTTTGAAAAAGCACCTTTGGGATCTCCAGCCCTTCCAGTTAAACCAGGATAGGATTTTTTCCCCCATTAATAGGTGGTGCACAGACATTATTATGAAACATGGAGTTAATTCTTTTCACATGCCATTGTCTCAAATAATTTAGTTTTCCACTTCTGTATATCCATTTACTTAACAAAACAAAACAAAATACATATTGGTGTTAAACTACAAATAACAGATTTATCCTGACCCTAAGATTAACATTGGAATACTGTAGAAGAAGAAACAAAGACCAAAAATTATTGATGGGAAACCTTGTGATTTGATATTTCAAATAATATGGAATCCTGTACTCTGCAGCACCCACCTGCCTACATTCACATCCACTCATGCTCCTGCCTGCTCTTGTACCCTCCCATGTACCCACCCCAACCATCTCTAGTGGTCCTCACTTAATGATACAATGGGAACTGTTGGAATTGCCATCGCTAAACAGCATTCATGTGCCATTATGCTTTACAAGCACATTGCTTAGTGATGGAAACTCTAGTCTCAATCACTGTTGTAACCTTGGGACTACTGCAGTGGTGGGTTTCTACCAGTTCATCCTGGTTCAGGTGAACCGGTAGTGGTGGGAGACTCCGCCCACCCCCTGGACTCTCTGCGCATGCACAGAAGGTTCTGCGCATGTACAGAAGTGCCATGCGTGAATGAAGGAAGCACACACAAGTGCACGCTCACAGTTCCGAACTGGTAGCAAAGGTAAGTGGAACCCACTACTGGATTACTTGCAATGTTGGATTCCTGTTATGTTATTGAAGTAGGAAGATGCTCACCTTAAGGCATACATAAAGTGACCGACTGTATTTTGGTGAAATTAAACTGTTCGTTCCTATGCATTTTGGGGTTTTTGGAGATCATTCCATTGCTTTGTAGTTAATTCATATATGTAAGTATGATACATTTTCCAATGTAAGGGTAGTCATTCATTGTCTTCAAGTTGCTGATGATAAAATAAGTTTCTTTTAGGTTTTGAATAAGATCATTAACTACATATAATTTGGCTTCTAAGAACATATGCAGCTGCTTTCATAGAGAGAACTCCAAATACAATATGTAGCTATTTCCTATTTCCCTCCTTAGCCAGTTTTCTTTGGACAGAAGAAAGTACAGTGGAAAAACGAAGGAGAGTGTTTCTTTTTCTTTTTTTTTTTCCTTAAAAGAAACCAACCCTGTAAAATTCTGAGAATAAGAGGGTAATTCAGGGATGCTATTCAGCAGGTTCTGACAGATTCTGGAGAACTGGTAGTGGAAATTTTGAGTAGTTCGGAGAACCAGCAAATACCACCTCTGGCTGGCCCCAGAGTGGAGTGGGAATGGAGATTTTGCAATATCCAAGGAGCCTTGGTGGCGAAGCAGACTAAAGTGCTATTAAGTAGCACTTAGCTGCCAGCTGCCTGCAATTACTGCAAGTTCAAATCTCACCAGGCTCAAGGTTGACTCAGCCTTCCATCCTTCCGAGGTAGGTAAAATGAGGACCCGAATTGTGGGGGCAATAAGCTGACTTTGTATAAAAAGAACACCGCTTAGGGAGTGCCGAAAGCCTTACTAAGCAGGTATATACAAAAATATGAAGGCTATTGCTTAATGCATTGTAAGCCGCCCTGAGTCTCTGGAGAAGGGCGGCATATAAATCGAACCAATAAATAAATATCCTTCCCCTGGAGTGGGTGGGAATGGGGATTTTGCAGTAACCTTCCCCTGGAGTGGGGAGGGAATGGGGATTTTGCAGTATCCTTCCCCTGGAGTGGGGTGGGAATAGAGATTTTGCAGTATCCTTTCCCTGGAGTGGGGAGGGAATGGGGACTTTGCAGTATCCTTCCTCGAGTGGGGTGGGAATGGAGATTTTACAGTGTCCTTCCACTGGAGTGGGGTGGGAATGGAGATTTTGCAGTAACCTTCCCCTGGAGTGGGGAAGGAATGGGGATTTTGCAGTATCCTTCCCCTGGAGTGGGGAAGGAATGGGGATTTTGCAGTATCCTTCCCTTGGAGTGGGGTGGGAATAGAGATTTTGTAGTATCCTTTCCCTGCCATGCCCACCAAGCCACGCCCACAGAACCAATAATAAAAAAAAAAATTGAATTCCACCACTGGGGTAATTGGACAATTGTACTCATCAAGAAACATGTTGAAATTATGTCTGAGAGCAAACTAGTCCTGGCTAAAGACCAGCTGCATATGCAAAGTACAGCTATATACCGAATAATATTTATGATGCATAATCACAGCATCACAATATGCTAAATCCTTATTATGAATCTAATATATGATTGATGTATTTTCTATAATGGATGGAGATGAGAATTAGCAGTAACACTAAGTGCTGTTATAAATCACTTCAATTTGATTATTGGAGTGACTTATCCATGCAAAGGTGTAATTTTCCATCATCAAAACAAAGCAAAGATCCTGCTCTGTCCCCAAGAACTGAAAGGAAAATGGGGGGGGGGGTGGCGGGAAGAGATCTGCTTACTGAAATAAGAAAACCCACTTAATGTTGTTGCACAAAAGTGTGGGAAAGAATCATGAGATCATAATTGGTAAGAAGCAAAATTATGTGGTTTAGCACTGATGGGAGGTTTACAGAACCAATTTTAGAAGCAGCTATTTTAAATGATAGAAAGCTAATTAGAAGCAGATTTTCTTTAAAAAGAATAAAGAGTCATAGAAGAAGGGTTGGGCTGAGAAGTTGGGTTACTTTTTCTAACAATTTGTTGCAATTCTCCTACCCTTCCCTGGATAAAGAAAATGTTGGTGTATTCTATAATCTGGATCTAAGTTAACTAATATATGATGTACACATAGAAGTCTTAAGGTTGTCAATTTAATATTTTTAATATTAACCAGTTTTACACATCCAGGGATACAGAAAACAGAATAACAGGGAGGGAAGGGACCTTGGAGGTCTTCTAGACAAACCCTCTGCTCAACAGGAGACCCTATACCCATGATGGCGAACCTATGGCACGCGTGCCACAGGTGGCACGCTGAGCCATATCGGTGGGCATGCGAGCGTTGCCCTAGCTCAGCTATGACGCGCATGCGCGAGCCGGCCAGCTGATTTTCGGGCCTTCTGGGCCCACCAGAATTTGAGAAACGGGCCATTTCTGGCCTCCAGAGGGCCTCCGGGAGGGTGGGGAAGGCCGTTTTTGCCCTCCCCAGGCTCCAAGAAAGCCTCTGGAGCCTGGGGAGGGCAAAAAATGTGCCTACAGGCCCACCGTGCTATCGAGTGCCAAAAGCGGGAGGAGCGCAGCGGGGTCGCGCGCACATGCATGGGTGGGGGCAGGGTGCATTGAATTATGGGTGTGGGCACAGATATGCACGACCCCCCCCGCTCTCCCCCCCACTTTTGGCACATGATGGCAAAAAAGTTAGCCATCACTGCCCTATACCATTCTGGAAAAATGGCTGTCTAAACCTCCAGTGAGGGAGCATCTACAACTTCTGGGGGCAGGCTATTCCACTGATTAAATTGTTCTCATTGACAGGAAATTTCTCATTAATTCTAGATTGAATCTCTCTTTGATAAGCTTCCATCTGCTACTTCTTGTCCTGCCCTCAGGTGCTTTGGTGAATATGTTGATTCCCTCCTCCCTGTGACAGTCCCTCAAATTTTGGAAGACTGCTATTATGTCACCCCCTAGTCCTTCTCTTTATTAGACTAGATATACCCAGTTCCCGCTTTAGCCTCCAGCTCCAATAATTTTTGTTGCTCTTCTCTGCACTCTTTCTAGAGTCTCAATATCTTTTCTGTATTTTGGTGGACCTAAACTGAATGCACACAATTTATTCCCCCACTTATGGATGTGTGACATTATATTAGGTAGTTCCTTTTTATGTGTGCTTATAATTTATGTAGTGATCTAGATGCAGCATATTTTATTTATTTATATGGCTGTCCAACTAACTAAGATGACTCTGGACAGCTTACAACATTAGAAATCCACAACATAAAAATCATATACTTCTCCTCCCCAATGGCAGCAGCAACACAATGAGACCAACTACTTGATCAGCTAGATATCCAACACTTAACATTCAAATTGCATCTGGCATGATAAATGCTAGAAAATATTTGGACTTTTTTTTTCAACAGAAATGAAAACAATTGATTATATAATCCAGAGTTTGGGTAGAACAAATGAGAACCAGGAATTATTGTCAGAGGTACTCTAGTCCTATAAGGATCGGAAATTGCAGACTTGTTAATTAATCTACTGCTACTCTACTAATTACAAAAGAGAAATTAAGAAATTGTAATAATCAAGGGCAACTGTGAACTTTGTGATCATTTGAGGGCAGGTGGTAATTCTTCAGGATGAGTCACATTTCTCACCAGGCTTCTGATTGGCCAATGCACAATTTCCTTTCATGAGATTGTCAGCAGGATGGTGATTCATAATTAGATCCGCAATATC